TTGAATACCTGAGTCGATTGGAGAAGTGGAGAGACGAGGAAAGGGTGTAGTCATTGTGTTGCATACATAATCCTTTAAATGAGATGGGGGACGTCTGGCACGCTGTTCACGAATATCTGCCACAGATGCAGTGTTGGGTTCTGTCAACGGAACCGGTGAACCAGGGACATCCGTGGATGAAGTAATAGAACCCGGAACTGGGGAGGACGAACTCCCCCTGTCATCAAGCTCCGCTGTGGGAGTATCAATAGCAGTAACAGGTGCCACATCATAATCGGTGAAGACAGCTTGTGGTGACGGTACATGGACAGAAGGTGCAGATGAAGTTGCAGCCAATGGAAAAATAGTTTCATGAAATAAAACATCACGAGAAACAAATATTTCATGAGTGGAGATATCCATGACCTTCCATCCTTTTTTGTTGAAAGGGTAGCCAACAAACACACACTTACGGGAGCGAGGAGCGAACTTGTCATGTGGTTTGGGTAAAACAGTAGTGTAACATAAACTCCCAAAGACCCGTAAGTGATCATACTTTGGTGGAGTGCCATGCAAAACTTCATAGGGACACTGACCACCAAGGAGTGGAGTCGGTGTCCTGTTGATGAGGTGAGCAGCGGTCAAGATGCATTCTCCCCAAAGAGATATAGGTAAGTGACCATCAAAACGCAAAGCACGAGCCACGTTGAGGATGTGACGATGACGACGTTCAACGCGTCCATTTTGCTGTGGGGTGTAAATGCATGATAATTGATGATGAATACCGTAGGATGAGAGAGCCTCTTGGACTACAGATGACAAAAATTCAGTCCCATTATCACTCTGAATTCGCTTAACAGATGCATCATATTGGGTGCGAACCAAGTGGAGAAACCGAAGTAAACATGTGGAAGTTTCAGTTTTATTGCGCATCAAAAAAATCCAAACATGTCTACTAAAATCATCGACTACAGTTAAAAAATAGCGGGCACCAGTTGTAGATGCCATATGATATGGCCCCCATATATCACAGTGAAGTAAATCAAAAGGATGTAAACAACGTTTATTATTAATAGGAAAAGGACTTCGTGGTTGTTTGGCTTTACAACAAACGTCACAAGGAGCCAAATTGTTTGCATTGGAAATAAAAGGTAACAAAGATAAATAACGGGAAGATGGATGTCCTAGACGACGATGCCATAGTGCTGCAGAATCTGACGTACTGGTAACATGAGCAGAAGCTGATGATGCACACAATATATACACCCCTTCTCGTTCAACACCCGTTCCAATCGTCCTCTTCTGCTTTAGGTCCTGTATCAAACAAACAGAATTAACAAACAATGCCAAGCAAGACTGGCGCAGAAGCTGAGATACAGAAATCAAATTACAAGCCAACGAAGGGACATAAAGAACATTGGAGAGATGAAGAGAAGAGCCCAAAGTAATGCTGCCACATTGCGTAGCAATATCATGAACTCCATTCGGCAGTCCCACAGAACAAGGAGAAATAGAATGCACATTGGATAGATAGGAGAGTGTGCCCGTCATGTGTTGGGATGCACCACTGTCGATGATCCAAGATGGGTGTAAAATCTTACCCGTAAGTTTATCAACTGGAGGGGCAGAAGAGACAGCCAAGGACATGAGATGTTGTAGAACTTCTGGTGTAAAATCTGCCATGGAGATGGATGCTGATGACGGCTCAGAAGGAACCGAAGGCAGAGAAGTATGAGCAGCCCAATTTTCATAATTGGATTGTCCACGGAGGATGACCGTGGTGAGAACAGCACCAGGATTGTCGGATGGGTGCAGGTAAAAGGGTGACTTAGAATCAGAAACCTTGAAGGTTTTAGGTGCGGAAGTCATGATGAAAAAAAAAAAAAAATGAAGGCTTGTTGATCGTCAAGCTCTTGATACCATAACAGAAGTTGCTGTCATTCGCAGCTTGATGATATATCAAATTGGGTCTATTATATAGACCAAGATTTACAATTGGTTACATCAGGAAATCAGCTAAACTTAAGGAACAGAAAGCATAAATCAAGCTAATCTATTTACATCAGGAAATCAGCTAAACTTAAGGAACAGAAAGCATAAATCAAGCTAATCTATTTACATCAGGAAATCAGCTAAAACTAAGGAACAGAAAGCATAAATCAAGCTAATCTATTTTAATATACAAGGTAACAAACCGTGATAGTTACAATCAGGATCCTAACAAATTAATGCTACTCTAATAAACCTGATTGGTCATTAAATTTGGTATTGCTTTTGGGAAAACCAATTCCTCATATCACTCAGAAATTTTCTATTGAAAGAGAAGTTGATGAAAGATACATATAATAAATAAATAATGGGAATTATTTCTGCAGCAACGACAAAATAATTTTTTTTGCAACTAACCTTTTGATTTCTGTGTGATCATTGTTTTTTTTCTCTCTCATGATGGGTCCCATTTCATTTTAGTCTGCTTAGGGAAATATTTATGGTACTACTGCTGTAGAAAAATTTTGTTTTGCTATTGTTGCATAAGTATAAACCCCATAAATAATTAAGCAAACAAACAAAAAACAAATAAAGGGGGACAAGTAGCAATATTGCACAAAACGAAAATGAGTAAATGGGGCGCTCATTTTATCCATGTTCAGCACAGTGAACCAAGCTATCCATTGGGAGAAGAAAACACTTAGCATTCCATAGGAAGATCTTTGCAAGAGAATAATCTCTGTTTTAGTAAAGTATTATAGATAGAAACTAATGTTAATCATGAGAAAAGGCCAACACAACAATTAGATTCCAGAAGCATATTTAATAAGCATCAACATATTGAGCTCGACTTAATTAATTATGTAGAGGATGTTTCCAACACATAATTCTGTGTGTTAGAAAAATGTCTTGACTTTTGTTAAAGAAGGTGCCATACTTCACTAGAGAAGTCAACAACAAACCAATAGAGCATGCATGCAAGCAATCAAATCTAGTATTCAGTACTTTGTTTGTTACCTTACAAATCAAATATTGTATTCAGTATTTTTCTCCCAATTGATTTATAGTAAATGGAGTGACCTGAGATTTTATTTCAAGTCCCTTTCTCACAATAGTTCTTGAAGTGCTTCTCTCTTTCTTTGTCAATTTTTCCCTTCGTTGTCCGTGTTTTGTGATTGGTAAAGAGGAATTGGTGAGATTATAATAGGAGTAAAGGACAATATGCAGATAAATGGTTCTATTTTAAGGCATTGTCATTAGCTGGGAACATGGCCCACGTGTTAAGCTATCGTGAAAAATCACCGAAAAATACTTATACGTTCTGAATTTCAATAGTTTAGGTTCGATTTAAATTTTATTATATAGTATTTGACATGTAATGTAATGACATGTATACGTGTGGCAAGTTCTATGATTTTATTGCATGAACCAAGCCTAATGGAGCACTTGTATTCACCTACCTCTTATTTTAGTGTTCCTTCAACAAGTAAATCTTTTTATCTTGATTATTTTTTAACATATTACAAAATTAATCATAATCCTTGTTTTTTTTTTGGGATAGAAATCATAATCTTTGTATATATAAAAGATAGTCTTTGCACATAAATTGATTCCTATGCAAGAGATAGTGACAAAATATGGGTGAAATTTTTTATCTTTGTTGTTCTCGCATTTCAATATTCCTTTTCCATTCATGACAATGAATCAATATATATATATTGGAAAAGTGTTTATCATTTTAAATAACATAAAGTTGTGTCATTTAAAGAGAAAGATAGACGCAAAATAAAAAAAATTTATTTAAAATTTAAATTAAAAAAAAATCACTCATTTTCTTCTCAATGATTTTCATTTTTTGTGTCTATCTCTCTACAAAATAACATAAGTTATATCATTTAAAATAACAAACATCAAACCCTATATATATATATATATATATATATATATATATATGCATGCCAAAAGAAAAATTTAATCGTAAAATGACAGTATTCCAGATTTCAAAGCACTCAAAAGAAAAATTTGCTCAAATCCAATTGGCGAAAATAATCGTAAAATTTTATTAACAACACCATCCTAAGAAATTTTGTTTTTAAAATATATCCATGCCAAAATATCTTACAATTAGTATCATATTGCTTAATCAACTTGTCTAAACAGTTACAATTATAACATCTGAAGTTTTCAACAAAAATACATTCCGCAAATTAATATCTAAGCTAAATACCTATAACAAAAGCCATGAAAGTACCTGTACTTAAGGAGAAGAAAAGCTAGGTATTTTTGTCTAGGAGGAAGGGATTGGACGGAGAAGGAAGCTTTACCAATTAATTGGTTATAAGAGGATTAAAAAAAAATAGTGTCAATATATTATGTTTAAATTAGCAAAAAGAGAATAATATTATTCATTTTTGAGACAAAGTCTTTTAGATTATTTTTAAACAACACTAGTTACTTATTGGAAGAGTTGGAGTCAACATTTCAAGAATGTCTAATTTCAACCTGAACTCTAATAAGAACAAAGTGTCATTGTCTCGTCGAGATTTAAGATGTTTCCCATGCCATTGTCTTTGTTTAAAAAGCTGACAAGAAGAATGGAACTGCAAATAATAAATTTTATTTTATTTTTAGCATACCGTGTCATTGAAAAGCTTGCTGGCTAGCAGATATAGGACAAGCAACTCATCTCATCATATGCTTTAGGCGGCAATTAAGAACATAAACCATTAGGTAGACAACATCTACATCCTTCAAATATTCTACAAATGAGGAAAAGAACATTCATTTTTCAATTATTTCTCTTGGCATCTGCATAGAGCATCAAGTATATATTCTTTTAGCAACTTAATCGCTATAACTAGTTATGTCTCACTCTCTTGGCTGCTGGCCAAATCTAATGTTTCTTATTAATCTTGTCCTTGCTACAAACTGACATGGTCAACAATGTTTGTCCTAGTACTTTACGAAGAAAAGACTTGTATAAATATATGTCATGGTTCACACTCATTTTGCCTCAGCCTCACAACATAAGTATTGACTACTTGCTTAACACATTTATCAAATTTGCAGAAAACAATGTCAGGAGAGGAAATTTGGTCATCCTGTGAAGAAGAATCTAGTCAAAATCTTCCTCCATTTGATAACAGCAGTGGCTACAATTCAAGAACAGGCATTTATCACCCTCTTGTTAAGCTTGGCAAAAGACATGAAATCCCAACAAAGCCTGACCTTAACACTGCCCATCTTGTGCTGTCACAGTTCCCACCAGCAGACCTTGCTGATGCAAGAATTGCATACATTGATTCAGGTACTAATCGTAGTATAAGCTATGGAGAGGTTCGCAGGTCTGTTTACTCCCTTGGATCAGCTTTGTTCCATGGACTTGGGGTAAGTAAAGGTGATGTGGTGTTTGTATTGTCCCCAAACTCAATAATGTACTCAACCATATGCTTATCAGTGTTATCAGTTGGAGCAATTCTGACAACTGCAAACCCCCTCAATACTGAGTCAGAAATTGCCAAGCAAGTACGTGATTCAGGTGCTAAACTAGCAATTTCAGCACCAGAAGAGCTACACAAATTGGTCCCTACTGGGGTTCCTACAATTCTCACATCTTATCCCTCTGACAGGAAAATGTTATCAGTTGAAGAATTAATAGAAGGATGCTATAATTCACTAGAGTTGCCACAAGTTTCTGTGGCTCAATCAGATACTGCTGCTATACTTTACTCTTCAGGGACTACAGGTGTAAGCAAAGGTGTAGTTTTGACACATGCAAATCTCATTTCCATAATGAGACTACTACTCTGGTCTGCTGATGTAACTGGATCCGTTGATGATGTTTTCTTGGCCTTCATTCCAATGTTTCATGTTTATGGACTGATGTTCTTTGGATTTGGGTTGTTGTGTGTTGGTATTACAACAATTTTGATGCAGAAGTTTGACTTCCAAGCTATGCTTGTTGCTATCCAGAAGTACGAAGTTAATAACTTACCAGCAGTGCCAACAGTGATCCTTACACTAGTAAAACATGCAAGAAAAGCTGGGAGTGACTTATCCAGCCTCAGAAGGGTGGGCTCAGGGGCTGCACCTTTGAGTAAGGAAGTGATTCAGGAGTTTAGAAAGATATTTCCTTGGGTTGAACTAAGGACAGGTTATGGGCTAACAGAAAGTTCTGGTGCAGCAACATTTTTTGTGTCAGATAAAGATGCTAAAGCTCACCCAGACGCATGTGGGAAGCTGCTTCCAACTTTTTGTGCAAAAGTGATAGACATTGAAACTGGGAAGCCTTTGCCTCCTCACAAGGAAGGAGAGTTATGGCTGAATGGTCCTTGTATTATGAAAGGATATCTAGGAAATTTGGAGGCAACAACTTCAACACTTGATTCGGAAGGTTGGTTGAGGACAGGTGATCTTGGTTATATTGACGAGAATGGATTTGTTTGTGTAGTTGAAAGAATAAAGGAGCTAATCAAGCACAATGGGTATCAGGTACTCAAAGCCATAGTAGTTTCAGTTTTCAATAGTGGCAGTTTTGTTTCTCTTAAAATTCAGTTAGAATATCAATATATTCATTTAGTTCTAAGGTATCAGATTGAGTTTCTAACCCAAAAAGTTCTTTGGTTTTCATTAATACATATATGGATTGCTTGTGTCAGGTGGCTCCAGCAGAACTGGAATCTGTGCTGCTAAGTCATCCCCTTATTGTTGATGCAGCAGTTATACCGTGCGTTACCCTCAGCACATGTTCACTCTCATTTTCATTCTCTATATGACTTTCTCATGTGGAAAGATATGTTGCAGGGTTGAAGATGAAGAAACTGGACAGATACCAATGGCATATGTGGTGAGAGCAGTTGGTTCTGAACTCTCAGAAGACCAAGTCATTCAATTTGTCGCAGGCCAGGTCAATCTTAGCCCCTGCCTCTTCTCTTTCCCTATGGTCATTTTAATTTGTTTCTCTTTATTTTGAAAACTAAACTTGAGCATTTTCAGGTGGCCCCATATAAGAAAGTGAGAAGGGTGAGTTTCATTGACACTATTCCAAAGTCAGCTGCTGGCAAGATATTGCGCAAGGATCTTGTTTCTCAAAGCAAATATCAACTTGTCTCCAAGTTATGAGTAACCTCAGTATAAATGGTAGTGCTCTAGAGTGTTTTAATTTCTCATGTTAAGGAAAGGAAGTTCAAAAATGAAGCGAGCACCCCATTTAGATAGGAACTTGGAAAATAGTCATCTCCTTTAGAGCATGTCTCTCAAATTTTTCTTTTTGGTGCACATGATGTGGCACATCTGTTGTAATAAAAAGTTGCTTATTTTATTTAAGCCTAAAGAAATACAGCTCTTGTGGAATCTGAATGTATAATTGCTGTTGCTAGTTCTAGAGGAGGAACCTCATTAAAACAAGACACGAGCGATCAATGACCCTCCTCCAAACACGCCAATTGAGGGAATACAATTTTACTAGAGGAGGAACCACATTAGGACCATTTTTCACATGGCTACCCTCACCAACTTGTAATCATTCTTTTTTAAATCCAACCACAACCCGAGAACACGAACATAAGGGCAACCGATGAGTGAAAAGTTGAAAGGGGTGACAGGAGTTCCACGTTTCCCAATCAAAGAATTCCATAGGATTATAACATTAGTGTGCCTAAAGAAAAACCACGGTTAGTCCCTCAAAAAGGACTAACATAAGGGCAACCATTTTGAATGCAATCCCCTACTAATTGAATGTACTAGCTAATCAAATTAAAATGGAATAAAACACGAGAATAAGATAACAATATATAATTAAATGAATGAGATAAAAATAAACCCAATATAATTTAATGGAAACATGAACATCAAATGAATCAGACAATTACGCATTACAAATACAAAAAGCTTATGTACCCATCTCTTGAAAGTTTCAGTCCTTCAAAATTGGAGTTCAACATTCTTATACATAATGCATTTCAACACAAAAGATAACACAGCAAAAGTTCTGTAACAAGGAAATGCCATCTTCTGCATGAATTAAAAGAACACAATACAATTCTGCTGCTTGTAAGAAAGTTGAGGTTCCTCAGACTCAACTCCCAAATCACTTTTAGTTGGCATTGCCCACATAATTTTCATGCCTCACTCCCTGCAAACCATCGCCAAACACCACCAGAACTCTGCCTCTGAGCAGTTGCAGCGAGCTCCATCTCCTGGTCCAGATCAGACTTCTTTTTACGAAGAGCTTGTACCTGATCTTCCACAGACTGCATTGATTCCAGCAACTTCTGCAGCTCCGCAATTTTAGCCTGGAAACAAACATTAACAATATACTCAAATCCTACACAAAAACCATAAAGCCATTACACACTTCAAAAATAGGAAAGTGAATTTATACCTCCAGGTTAAAGCATCTTGATCTCTCAGCCACAAGCTGTCCCTGGACTGACTGGAGCTCCTGGAAATATATGTTCAATGATGAAAACTACAGGTACCTATTAAATTATACTGCACCTCCACATGAAAATTGTAATATATACCTTGGTCAACTCAGCATGAGTACTATTTACTTCGTCTATCTCACCTCCGAGCTTAGAATTCTTGGCCCTGACTTCTGCAATTGACAATTCCAATAACCGTTTTTCTTCTTTAATGGCCTCAATTTTAACCGTGGCATCATCCAGAGGATGACCATTTACAGATGACTTAGAATTTATATCATCTAGTTGCGTGAAATCCAACTTCTCAGATTTAGACAAAGCATACGCAGAACTAACAGAAGCTGCGGCTGCGGCAGCCGCTGGTGATTGGAAAATCTTGGGACGTACGGAGTCCTTTGCCTTGGGTTTCATAACAAAAACCTAAATTTGCAAGGGGCCAGCCATCAGCCACAAAACCAACTTTATGGTACGCCAAAATTTTAATTTAAAATTTGCATATAAAAAATATGTAAAATTAGCAAATTCAAAATTTATAGCATAACATTCCAGATGTCTTCGTTCCTAATCTTTTCTTTTCTTGTATGTTCATCCACTTCATCATTCTGATCTCAGTCACCCGTGTTATTTGCTCTTGTTGAATTGCAACAACTCACTGCCCAACATTGACTAACATTCTAATAAATTTGCAATGATATTTGCTAGTATTATCAAACACAAATAGCTAATTCCAAGAAATCAATTCTAGAAGACTGAATAGAAGGTTTTCCATTCTTTTTCCTTTACAAACTGATTTGGACTCGATCATGTTATAGTAGAGCCTAGCTTACTTTAGTCCAACTCAATCAATGTGCTATGTATTTCATCCATCTACTATTACATAACTAATCATAGATGAGGTTTTGACAACACTGATAGAGAATAATATAAACCATTAGAAAGGCCTTTACCCAACACCTTAAGGTTTTGGGTTGAAGTGATTCTTTACATGGTATCAGAGCTTCAGTGACCATAAGGTCACGAGTTCGATCCCCACCACCCCACTTTCTAGTGGAATTAAAATAAACACAAGGTAAAACAAAAAATTGGGCCTGTGTAATATCCACACTTCAAACCCAAAAGGCTCTTACACGAAGGTGTGTATTAGAGAATAATAAAAACCATTAAAAAAGCTCTCACCAACACCTCAAGATTTTGGGTTAAAGTGGTTCTTTACAAACACAAATGGTATTAAATATTCAATGTTAAGAGAGAGATCCTCACTGGCTTTTTTTTGGTATATTGAGACTACCAAAGTGCATCAATCTTTTTGCACTGGTAAAAGACATTTATTGGTAGAAAGTATAAAAACATGTAGGAGGATAAGGAATCCTCCTAGAAACAGTTAAAACACATTACCAACAAAAAAGGATCTATTACCAAAAACAGAACCAAATCTCAAACGTCTCCAATCCCTCCACATGTCCAATAAAGAACACCTATCCCATAGAAAACCGTGAACTAAGACCCATAGCACCAAAAGCAAAATTGATCACATAAAAGCTTTAATGAAAGAAATCATTAGCCTAAAGAGATTGGCCCTGCAATCCAATCAAAGACACCAAGACCCACAGGTATAGCACACTACCCAGAGGTTTTACACCTAACCCTCCTTCCCAAATTTAAAAAATGTGTAAACAAATAGCTCCAAAAGGCTAAACAAAGCCAAATAACAAATCATGTGGTTCCCACATTTTTCAACTTGCCTAAGTTTTAGGTTTTGTACAATAAGCTCTTTAATGTGTTCACATGTCTTAACCAAATCCTTGGCAAGAGTTCTGAGCACAACTGAAAAGCTTTCATTGGTAAAGAAATTTTCATTTCTTTTAATGGTATTAGAGATATATAAAATCATTGATGTAACCTCACCCAACAGCTTAAATTTTTGGGTTGAATTGGTTCTTTACATGTTATCAGAGTCTTAGTGTCATAGGTTCGATCCTCACCGCCCTCCCGTTTAATTAATAATTAATCAAGTCTTGTAGAGTTTTTTAACACAGGTAGGTGAGCCTGTGCATTGTCCACCTTTCAAACCCAGTGGGCTCTTAGAGATATATAAAACCATTAAGGTAGCCTCACCCAACAGCTTAAGCTTTTGGGTTGAATTAGTTCTTTACAAATGGTAAGTCGGTAATGCAACATTTCTATCTAGTTGATATTATTGGAATCATTCCAATTGCCTATTGTTTTTTTGTAAAAAAAATTTCCTTATCATTTCTAGGATGGATAATTTAGTGCAATGTTCCCATTAAATCTTAATATCATACTAAAAAAATGGTAAAATTATAGTTGACCCTCACGTGGTTTTACCCAAAATCACTTCATTGATATGGCTACAAAAATTGACACTTTGGCACCCTGTGATTTGCTCTGTTATCACATAATCACCCCGTGATTTTTTTCCCATTCATTTTTTAATGGTGAGACACATGTAAACCAAGTGAGCTCACTTTCGAGTCATTGACTTCCAAATTTTCCCCAATTTCTTCACAAATCCCTTGCTCCTTTATTATTAAAACCCAATTCACTGCAAAGTATTCACATTAGAGAGATCAGCAAGCCCTTAAACTCTCAAGTCTACAACATAGTAGTTAATTGCGCCGCAATAGCGCCGCGAGCCGCGCCGTATGGGCGTTGCGGTGCCTCGCCATAAGAAACCGCGCCGCGCCGTACCGGAACGCAATAACGGCCATTGCGATCGCATTTGCGGCCATATTGCTGTCATAAGGCAAAATGTCAATTTTGTCTTAAATTTAAATGTGTAACAGAAAAAATTTAAGGGTTTTTTAGCCTATCCGCGTCTCTCTCTATCACTTCTACTATCTCTACCTTTAAAAAATGTTTCTTTTTGTAATTATTTCTGTCATATATCTATTCCACTACTTCCGCAACCGCAACCCGCTATAACGCTATAGCGTTTTTAGGGGTTGGCCGCGACATGCTGCAATCTGCATTTGATAACTATGGTCTGCAAGTGAAGCTCAAGAGTACGCATACATCCAAACGAGCAGGCTGTTTAGAAAACTTCAACAAAGATTGATTCAAGTCTTTTCCAAAGACAAACGAGTAGGCATGCATGTCCAAATGAACATACATGCATGTCCAGACAAGCAGGCAATCTAGAATCAATTGCTGAGACAGAAGCAATGAAACATACAAGCAAGCACTCAAGTTGCTGAGCAAAACCAAGTTAGGAAACTGCAAAAAGGACCAATCCAAGGATAAAACATCTCCAATGGCTAGAATTGATGAAAGAAGACCTCCTAAACGATCCACCAAAAAAAAAAGGCCTCCCAAATGGGCATAAGGCAGAGAAGGTATATATATATATATATATAATCATCAAGGAGAAAAGGACAGCCATCAAGGCATCAACTAAAAAATCTTCAACTCAAGTCATGATTTAAATTTCACAAACTTAAGTTCTCTTTCCTGACAAAAACAAATTAAGAAAGCCAATCGTCCATAGCCAACAGAAAAATCATAAATAAAGGTTACATCACATACCTCATTGCTATATCTCCCATTGTAGCCACCAAAAGCTAACAAATATTTTTCTCCATCAATCGATGCTGAGCAGACACTAAGACCCTGATAAGCAATAAAGACTTACATCAAATATAAATCAATAGATGAAGAGTATGCATTAACATAACAGGACATGAATTATTATCACACTTTTTTGGTACAAGCAACTGCTCATGCAACTTTTATCATATTTAATTACATATAAAGAGCACCCTACCCATTTTGATTGATCAATTACTTAATATAAAATAATATGTTGTGTATTAAACTGATACAAAGAGTTCCAATATATAGAGACCCTAATGGGCTTAAGTGAGAAGCCCAGACCTAATCCAAATCCTAAATAGGAAAAGAATATTTACAAATAAGAAAGCAATCTATACAAATCTATACATATTATATTTCCTATTCTAACACAATTAATTAGCAAGTTAGAAAAAGTCAAGGCCCACTTTCTTTCTTCTCTCTAGCCCCTCTTGTTTCATCTTCATGACAACACTTTGAGGCTGATGCTAGGCAACCCTTTCTATTTTCTTCTTATATGCTTCATTTAAATCTACCTCAACCTTTGGTAGATAATACATATGAGGAGTTGGTTAGCTCTTTCCTCAAATCTGGAAGATCGAGTGTTTTGGTTCTTAATGAAACTGATGGACCTGCTACACTATGTCCTACTACTCTTGCTTGCAGAATCCAATGTAGAGTGTCGATAAAGATGCTTTCTCATCAATTGCCACCAGCCTGGAGCTATGTGATTACATAGTTACACTGGCTTCCTAGTTCAGCAAAAGTTCTGCAGCAATTTTGTAATTTTAGATCTATTTTTTTCACTTTGGAATGTAGGTTCCACCAGGCCTGATTAGTTTAATAAATTTTTTCCTAGAAAAAGATTCCTCCTCCCCTTTTCTTTTGATTGCATCATACTTTATGAATGAAGAGGCAATTATCTTCTTTAAAAAGAAAAGTCCATGAATTATAAACATATCCTGAATGCAAAAGATAGATCCCGCGTCTTATAACCAGAGGCTTAAGCTTATCTGGTGAAACAGTCAACAGAGTTTGACTTTTCAAACAAGCGATATATGCATAAAGGCTCATTGAGACAAGGACTAAATTTTTCATTTGATAATATCTCACTTTATTATGAAATCTAGAGTTAAATTGAAGCTGGATCTTTGTCATCTTTAGGACCTGTTATTTTCAGTTATTAATGATTAAAATTCTTCATGTTTCTCAATGCTTATAGGTAGGCATATTGTCATTCTAAATTCATTTGTGACCCCACCCGTTCTCACTTGCATTCAAACATTGTACATAAGATAACAAATGAATGTCCTAGACCATCCACTTTCTGCATACACTATAATGGATTACCAAGCCACTTGAAGTAAAAAATAAGAAAATAAAAACTAAAATCTGTTTGTTTTATGAAAAAAGAAAAAGGAAAGCTCTGGGTCGATGGCTCAATGTTCAGAATAAAACATTATCCTGATTAAAAAAAAAAACTTAAGATAGAAAAAAACAAGTTCCTCTAGTCAAGGCAAAAGAAATTTACAGGAACAAAACTCAAATCGGAAATAAATATATAATCATATCCAATCCATACAGTCTCAAAATCAACAATCACTGATATGGCAGCCTACACTACGCTAATACAGATCATGGAAAAGAGAGAATTATAATACTCCATACAAACATTAATAAAAATATAAAAAAGATAGATTGCACAAAAGTAATTACCTCACTAGAAAGTGGATCTTTTTGCTTCACAACAGTCAACACAGACCAAACAAGCTTAGACATGTTTAATACCAGGGTTTCAGGGCAACCTGTTTTGAAAATTAGACCATCAGACATCCATAAACAGTGTTTCATTAATGTTGAGAGCATAATCTATGCATTCTTGACATCGATAATAATATTAATAAACTTACCTACCCCCTTTACTTTTCAGCAGTATCTTATGGTTCACTTTAAGGTTTTTGTTAGAATACACAAAAATGTCTCATTATATCTTGATTGCATCGTAGAATAATTTAGAGTATCTTAGATTATCTCTTAGGAATGATTTCCTTATTTCTTTATATTTTATGATTTGTTTCCTTTTTAATATGAATAGGGAATTAGTGCTTTGTAGTTTGTAACACATCATTACACACCACATATCAATATTATATTGTATTATTCAGAGTTTGTTCTCTCTTTTCATCCTTCCCTACCTAAATCATATATTTCAACAGTTTTAATAGAAAGAAGGAGGCCAAAAATTTTGGTGTGGGGTTAGTGCATTTCTCTTTTTTTTTTGAAACTAATGCATTTCTCTGATATATTACTATTTGGTTGGAGCAGAATGCTCACATCGTTCAGCGAATCTTTTACCCCTAGATTTGCTTGAGTTATAATTGTGTTTATGGTTTCATGCTAGAGCTACTCTCAATGCTGTTTCAAGAGAGTTATTATTTCTAAAATGTGCATGGAGTGGAGACTTCCATGCTGCATTCTTGATTCTCTCTTTCTGCAACTGTTTTTCTTTTTCTCGTATTTTTCTGTTTTGAAGAATATTTTATCTGCTACACTCTAGTAGCATTTTCACTCTTTCTCTAATACTATTCCTTTTTCAATATTAATAATAATAATTACATACCACTTCTATTATCTCCACCACCAATTATGAACCAGCTTTCATCAATAGTGATACCAGCATGTCCAGCCCTGGGAGATACTAAATCACCTTGAGTTTGTGGTTGGGACCACTCCATCTGAACCAAATGAGGTTGTTACACCGTTAATGCTAAACTTGTAAGAATGAAGCAAAAGCAACTTTAAAGATCAATGACCAAAACTCGAGCAATTTTCTTGACAGGAAAATATAAATTGAAAACTAATCTCACATTTAGAAGAATATCGAAATTGTTCTTCCCTTTTTTTCCAAGGGTTACAGGGACCAGGTGAACAGGATAAACCAATAACCGCTACGTTTCCAATGAAACATTTTCCACTTTAGAAGCTAACACATGTAAGGAGATCTCCACAAATAATAGTAGTTGCCAAGCATAAGAAGCAGACATCATTGATGCCCAAGTTTGCCAATTATCAGTCTTTCCATTGAATGAACTCTCCAATGGATAGAAACTTCAGAAGAGATGCACAAATACTTCTCATAAATTTTGTAACGAAGAAAATTCCAGGTGAAACTAGTAAATCTCAGCCAAGAAATTAGTAAAAGAAATTTTATGTTGCAGGAAATATTAACCACCTATGTGGAGATGCAGGGCTACATTAACTACACATTCTCATAAAAAGTGTATATTAACCACTTTAAACAAATGCCTGCATCTACTAGTTCCAAATATGCCAATGGAACATTCTGCCATTGATTCACAATGTATTTTACTAAGCCACCTGTACGTAGTACTTTAAGCTAAACTCACCAAATCATTTCAGAAGACAAAAGCTTTGAGTATAGCTAAATGGTCAACCAAATAAGTTTACGTCACTATATTGTCAGTGAATGTTATAAATTACAGGAATGAGGCCTGGGTGTTAGTCAAATAACTGTATCAGCGGTTGTTCTTATCTACGTACCCCACAAAAAAATTCAGACCAACACTCCAATACCATTTAGCATCACCAGTATTTGCAAGCGCAATTTTATATTAACAAGTGTTCCCTTAACAACCATCAAATGCTATTGCATGGGTTCATCAAAATAATGACCCAGAATAAGTATATTGTATAGAAAAAAAGAAAAAATTGTTACAGAAAAAAAAAAGGTCACAAGACATTCCTCTGTAAGACAACACAATTGAAATGCTCTACAAAAACAATCTGGTATACAATACATTTAGATTTATTGTTAAAAATAAAGGGCAAATAATAGCTCCCCAAGCTCTAAATACCATTCTAACATCCCTCTTTTATGAAAAACAAATAACCATCATTGGTAGTAATCCACAAAAAAGCCAGATAAAAACCTTTGTCCCATAATTGCGAAATTAGAAGGAGCTGGAATATGCATCAGATAGGATACCAGAAAAACCTGTTATTGATTTACTACTGAAAATCCCTCAAGTCTGTTACAGATTTTGATAAGGTATCAGTAAGACAGTAACTAATATAGATCTGTATAACAGAAGGTCCTCTTGCACTCCACTCTAGTTCAGTAGCTAGCACCCAGAATTAAAGAAGAAAATTGAGCAAAAAAAGAAAGAATAGACAGTACAGACTCTTTGAGGGGTCTGCTGCATCCTTCCCAACCTTTCCACTCAATTCTCATTTGTCTCTTCCAATCCTCCCAAACTCCTCTACAAATTCATCATTGACAATATCTCTTATCTGTGCCACGAAGGCATCCCGTTGTCACAGGGTATATAATTTTCGCTAACTCTGATTCCTCTGATTCTGCTATCACAGGAAATATTATTCCCACTATCTCTATCAATGCACATGTGCCGTAAGTCTCCTCAGTCCCTTTTCTTCCTAGTGTACACTTGGAAATGGGAGTTCTAACAGTATCATATCAAAATTCACTTTTTTCCATATGTAATATACAAAAATGACTGATTACCCCAGAATGGAAGAAACAAGCTTACTAATACTTTGATTTAATTCAAGATGCAAAAAATAAAAAAATTGAAGATAATATTCACTTACTGTTTGCATGTCTAATAAGTGAAGATCATTGAAGAAGACAGAATGAGAGCAACCCCCAAAAATCAGAAGGTATCGCTCTCCTTGCATAGCAGCTGCATGATCATATCTAGGAGCCGGAGGCGTCTGCCTATCAAAATGCAAGAAAGTGGTATGGTCATACAAATCTTCTCTAAAGCATGAAAACACATTTTCTGAAAGTACAATAGATACTACTTACGAAGTATTTATCATATCCCAAGTCATATTTTCCAAATCGAGAACATGGACATCATTCAACAGCTTCCTGCTCATGTCTTCTCCACCAAACAATATCACTCTAGAACCAAACAGTGTTGCAGACTGTCCCATACGAGCTATCTAGAAAAATAAATTAAAAACATTCAAATATCTATTTAACTGCAATCAAAGTGATTACCACATTGCTTGTATAGGTATTAAGAAGAAATTACACACAAATTGAATATCCTACATACATAATCCAAAAAGAAAAAAGAAGTAGGATAAAGAAGATAAAACTACAACAACCAAGCCTTATCCCATTAGGTGGGGTTGGCTACATGGATCAATTGACACCATTAGGCTGTATTAAAAACCAAAATTTCAGTAAAATCATTTAGAGTAGGACATTGAAGATCTTATCCAAACAAAAATTCTACATCCAAGGACAGAACTTCAAACTTTTACATCAATAAACACACTTACTGGAACACTTCCAGAAGTCTTAATAACTCCAAACTGGCATGTTTTGACGTCAATGTACCGAACTGCAAAGTTCAAATAAACATTGTGAGTTTCTTATGTAACACACCATTTTATAATGATGTCAAATAAATGAGGCACTTACATGTTTTTCTCCCCATTATAAAAAGACATTGGAAATATACTAACCTGTTAATTTATCAGAAGAATCCTTTGAATTGCCACCAAGAAGAAGTACTTTCTCTCCCCACCTAATCTGCAGAAATTTCCAAGTCTCTTTCAGAACAAATCAAACATCCAGATGATCACTAAAACTCATGGTTCATCAATTTCCAAACTAAAGAAAGTAAGATTTCAAACTATAACATCTATGCACATAGAAAGAGTTGTGCATACAAATTTTTACCATATTGTGACCAGATGTGGCTGGAAGACTCTCCTGTGAGCTACTGACATCATCTTTTCCAGCATTTGCTTTTAGTTTCAGAGAAGACCATGTCAAACTTCTGAGGTCAAAAACCTGCACACAGCTGACTCGCATGACCCACTAAAAAGAGTCCAAGATTCAGAAGCATCTGAGTCTACCCCATACCTGAATATCAGATAAGTGCCGACCATTACGACTCCCACCAGCAATGTATAATTTTTCATCAACTACTGCTGCAGCATGCTACAATGAAAGTACAAAACATGAAGTAAGTATCTGGCCCAAGGCTAAGGAAGGACTTCAGCTAAGAAGCCAAGAATTACTAAGGACTTTTTGCATTCAAATGCAAACTAACTCATAACAAGACCCAATAATGAATTATTTTTATGCCTTTGTTAAAGAGAATATCTTGCCTTGTCTTCCTTTTAATTTTGTACTCTTCCATCCTCTAATATAAAACAAGGAAAAGAGAGGGAGAGAGATGAACCTTGTAGCGAGGAGGTGAACGTGCACCAGATACAGGGATTGGTACCCACTCATCATATGTTAGCTCCTTATACCAATGGTTGAGATCCATATCTTTCTGATTCTTCTTTAGTTCAGGAAGAACTGTTTCAAATTGCCTTAATTGTCACTTCAGGTTACTAACTGTCATAAAAAAGCAAAGGATTTCAAATGACAAATTCCTTAGAGAACACACACAAAAAGATCCAATCAGTAAAACCTAGGAAGCACGGATACAATACAATTACATCATGGACAAGGGGATATGACAAATTTTAAAAATTATAAGACACGACCCAGCTACGATACAACATTTAAAATTAACATAAAAACACAAATCTTACATTACAAGAGAATCACTGTTTTAAAAGTTACCATTAGTCAATGTAGAGATAAGAAAATACTATCATTTATCTAATTATTACACTACTCCTTATGCATTAGTATAAGAAATCAAAAATTATAGAATGAAACTATGAGTATCTGAAGTGTCCGATACCGATACAGCAGCTATTTTGAAGTGTCTATGCTTCCTTGAGTAAACAGATAATGATCACAAGTTTCTAAAATCATTCACACCACACACACACACACGTAGAGAGAAAGATAAAGATAACAGATATTGATATCTTAAGTAGATGGACTTATTCCATATTGGAAAAATGCATGAGGTAATCTTTGAATAACATCAATAATTAAAGAACAGTGTGATTAAAGGGCAAACCCTGATGCACAAAGACTCCCTGACTTTGCAAGGGTAGGGGTGAGAATCAATATTATGCAGTACTACTCTTACATTTAGACTCGAACCCATGACTTTCAAGTCACAAAAGAGCAACATTATTATTGTTCCAAGACTTGTCATCTAAATAACAGTACGAATAGACTGTAAAAATATATAAGGAATAGGTCTGAGAAACAACATCAGAATGATGAGAAAATAGACAAGACAAATTTAGGAAGGAAAGGTAGGAATGGATTGGTCAATCTAGGATGAAAGATCAAAATGACTGGCCCAGTAAAAAGTCATATATATCTAGTTCGTTGATATATTGACCTCTATAAGAACCGTTAAAAGAAATTATGACAAAAGCTAGATGCCACTAGAGAACTCATTACACAAATGCCAAGAGTCCAAGACAATCCATTTTGAAGGATGTACTCAAATACAACGTGAAATTCAGGAGGATCAAGACTAAGTGTTAAGTATGCAACAAACAAATTCCTGATTATAAGCACACATGATGTATTACCATATAGGACCAAAAGAAAATGCTAAATCCACACCTCTCTCTCATACTTTAACAGAAAATTATACATCAAAATCAATTCCTATTCCTGCACCCGGATCGACATAAAAAAGATAAAGCTTTTATTTGGTCTTGAAATAATACTTAATTTAAACTTGCAAGAGTTGCTGAAGTTTTTGTCATTACATTATTTGCATATCAGCCGGTTGCAAGCAAAAGGACTGCTTGTTAACCACATTTTGCGTTCTCGAGATTTTAAGATGCATAATCTTAAGATGAGTAATGGTTGTGTGCTAAAACTCTGCCATTACCTTTGATTTTTTTTTAAAATGTTTTCCCCATTGGAGAATGAGCCTAGTCAAGAGACAGTATAGGATTAGATTATGCAGAATCTCTTTGGAAGATTGAATTCCAAACAGACAGCTAACTGTGTAACAGCTTCTAACAGTCTCTATAGTGACATGTAACTGCTTCTAACTGACTAGTAGAGGTGCTAACAGAATTGGTTACAGGCTCTAGATATGCTTATGTACTAAAAATATTCAGATCATTGTACAAGCAAAATAGATCAATGCAAATTCAGTTTTCAGAATTTCAGTTCCCCTGTTTTCTCTCTCAGATCTCTCTTCGTCTTTCTCAGTTCTTCACCTACGTACAATTTCTACACTCACTAGCATTACTATATACACTAACGAGTTCCAACATATAGCATAAACTTTCACAATTCTCGGAGTCAAATTATGCTTTGACAAGCATCTCCAAGTATCTGAAATAGCAAATCCAGATCGAGCACACCACAGAAAATCGAAATTGGCGCACACAAGAAACGAATGGATTGGAATTGAACGTGAAAAGAGTGAAAGGGACTGAAACCTGTTATTACAGGGAGATGTCAAATCTCGGAACGTCGTCGTCCGATGTGGAGAGGGAGAGATATTAGACGGTGGCGAATCGAGAGCCACCGTCGAGATCTCGATCGATACGCCGTCGTTAAGTGACAAAAACACAACACAACAAACGTTACGGCAAGAATTTAAAGCTCAAGTTGTTAACGTGTACTAGTTGTACAATAGCTAGAGATCTGAGACAACTCAAATGGTTTAACATACATTGAATATTTGGTTTTTGTTTTTATTTTTTCCAACAATTTTTTATAGTTTACTTTTTAACTAATTAAATAGGGGGAAAGATATTGTAATAATTAACTAGTGTTACTATCAATCAATTTCACTGTTAAATTGATTATGTTGATCCAACGGTTATATTTATTTTCATCTTTGTATGGTTATGATTCTCCATAGTTGGATTAACATAATCGATCTAACAGTGAAATTGATTGGTAGTAATATTGATAGTAACACTAGTTGGTTGTTACAATATTCTATCCCATTAACAAAATGGGAAAAGTGAGAGAAATAAATAGATAAAGAGGGAGAGAGAGTGGATCCAAAAAAATAAAGGTGTGAGCCTCACTCTTTTTGTGATAGTAAAATGACACAAATTGTATCATTTAAAACAACAAATATTTTTACCTAAAAAAATTGATATCAGTTTTAATTTTCAGAAAATTTTGAAGATTATAAATAAAGAAAATTCATATAGACAGCTTCTGAAATTACTGAACCTCTATAGTTCTTCTTCATTTCTTTAAAATTAGTAAACATAATCTTTTGTGTTGCACTCAGACGTTTTTGTTAAACAAAAAAATAAAATACAAGTCCTTCCATTCATAACGTGACTTGGAAAAAAATACCTTCCTAGTATAATCATTGTGTCTTGTTAAAAAAAAAATTCAAAATATTATGCTTTGAATGATGAAGAAAAAATTTATGAATTTAATGAAGACTGTGAAAATTCAAATTAACTAAAAAAATTCATTTCTATTTTCATGTTTTCTTTGAATTTTCAATAAAAATAAATTAAAATTCTTAATTAAGGATAAGTTTCTCTGGGGATGAGAAATTTATGTCAACTAAGCAAATTGGTTTTCAAAAGAGAGATGGAATTTTTTTCCATTCAAAATACCCAGTAAAAGTTTATATTAAGTACACAAGAAACAAAAGAAATACACAAATCATCGTAGGTTAATTAGAAAGAGTATTTTCTAAATCTCTTAATTTAAAGGTAGATAACTTCTCACTAATCGAATTATAAGATATTAATTAAATGTACTCAAGTTAACCTAAAAAGTCATGAAAAACTCAACTAGATAAACCAACTCCATGCATATTTAGATTATCTTATTCAAAATGTATAATTAAAAGATAAATTTTCATAACTTTTTACTAATATAAAATAAGTTCATTTAAATATGAGTGATATATGACTTGTATTTTTCCATTAGCTCTTGTGTACAACTTTCATGAAGTATAATTTTGGAGGAAAATAATTGTTTTAAAACTGAATTTGATTCTTGAGCTGTTTGTGTATGAGAGTTTGGTATGTACTTGTAATAGGTGAATTATGTCACTATAGAGGTGTTATCATAAATAATGGTATGAACCAAAGTTCTTAGAAGAGTCATTATTATTGTATATCTCAAGTAGGATTGAGATAGAAGGAAAATGTATAAGAACACGTTGGGTCTATATTTTCTCAGAGTAATCATTCATAAAAATAATGGATGTAAGTTGGCTCTTCAATGGGTGAAAAGAAGTGTGTATAGATGGAAAATGTTTTCTAATAATGAGATAAATGAGTCATAACTATTTGCCTAATTACTCTCCTTGGTGAGGCAGCTAGCGCACCACTATGTATAATGTGGTGAGTTGTGCAAGGAGCGGAATATTCTTTACATTGAAGTTTGTTATTCTCATTATAAGAAGCATGTGAGCAATCCCTTAATGGACTTCTAAGGGTCCATCTATGGTATTGGATCGTGAGACCGGTCCAGAACAATTTTAAAGTAAATGTATTTATTATTAATTTAATTAAAAGTATATATCATCATCTTAATTCACTAAAATTTTAATTAAAAAGTCTTATCTTATAATTTTACTATAAAAGAGTTCCAAGAGAAATGCCGGCACTACTTTTTTTAGTGGTTGCCTAATTTTTTATTTTTTATTTTTCTTATAATAATTAATTTGGGGAGATCCCATTTTTTATGTGCATGAATGATTCATATTTGGTCACATTTGCGGTATCTAATCTCTCTCTCTCTCTCTCTCTCTCTATATATATATATATATATATATATATATATATATATATATATATCTAGAAAATTTTAAGGAAATGCTTGTTAAAGATTTTGATCAAAACTTATATTTTCTGAAAATTTTGCTTCTGATAAAATATTACAACGTTGTGTGATCTAACTATATATATATATAACAAACAATATTACCTAATAAAATAAGACTTAGTTATCATTGTTGTTATATATGAACAGTTAGCCTCGAAACAAATATCAAAAACGAATTTGTGGCATCCAAACAAAAACAAATCATAAAGGTAATTTATTAGGTAATTAATAAGATGTGTATTTATGATCAACTACCTAAAAATCTAGAATCGATTCATCTTTTTAAGGCCTCCTTGCTCAATTCATTACCTCTGAGATTTTCCTTGGACAAGCGCATTCTACGTTCAAATATATATCAACCAGTGGTAAACACAGGAATATAAGCCAGAAATTGCATGCCCCCCAAAGATATAGGACATTTTTCTAACCAAGCATGACTCATTCTTTATCATATCAACAACAATGTTCCCATAATTTCAACTACTATAAGTTTCATCACATTCAAAAATAGTGTGTACAAAGAAGGAAGTTAATTGACCATGCAAAAATAGAAAAAAACTCAGGAACCAACCACTGAATAGGATATTTGAAGTCACAAAAAGTTAACGAAAATCTCCTTAAACACCTCCCTTCCACAACTTGAATCATCTTTTCTCCCTCCTCCCATTTTGTTCCTCAAACTTGGTAACATATGCATTATTCTCTTCCCTTAACCCTCTTGTCCTTCCCAAAGAGACTCTCATTTTCTTTCCCCCAAACAAAAATAAAAAACCAAGAGAGGAATTAAGAAAAGGAGTCTCTTTAACTCTTAACCTTCTCTTGGAGCTAGTACCCCATGGCTTTCCTTGTCCTTTTCCTTCTCTTCTTTTCCCTTCCCTTCTCCTCTGCTAAACTCACTATTGATTACTACAAGAAAACATGCCCTGACTTTAACAAAATTGTTATGGAAAACGTTTACAACAAGCAAAGTGTAAGTCCAGCCACAGCAGCTGGTATCCTTCGTCTCTTCTTTCATGATTGCATCACTGATGGTTGTGATGCTTCAATTCTTGTTGGTTCCAATGCATACAACCCTCATGCTGAACGTGATGCTGAATTGAACCTTTCCCTCTCTGGTGATGCCTTTGATATCATTGTGAAGATCAAGAATGCATTGGAATTATCATGTCCTGGTATTGTATCTTGCTCTGACATTATAGCACAATCCACAAGAGACCTTGTTAAGATGGTGGGTGGTCCTTTTTATAATGTGAGGTTAGGTAGAAAGGATAGCTTTACATCAGATTCTTCAAGAGTTGATGCAAGCATTCCAAGGACTAACATGACCATGGATGAGATCATTGGCAAGTTTACTTCAAAGAAATTCACTGTTAAAGAGATGGTTGCTCTAACTGGTGCACACACCATTGGTTTCACACATTGCAAGGAATTCAGCAACAGGATCTTCAACTTTAGCAAAAACTCTCAGGTTGATCCTACCCTTCACCCAAAATTGGCTGAAGGTTTGAGGAAAGTGTGCCAGAACTACACTGTGGACCCTTCAATGGCAGCATTCAATGATGTGAGGTCACCAGGGAAATTTGACAATGCATATTACCAAAATGTGCTTAAAGGGTTGGGGCTCTTAACCTCAGATTACCTCATGAGTGTGGACCCAAGGACAAGGCCAGTTGTGGAGCTCTATGCAAGAGATCAACAAGCATTCTTCCAGGATTTTGCAAAGGCAATGGAGAAGCTTTCTGTGCTTGGAGTGAAGACTGGTAGAAAAGGAGAGGTGAGGGCCAGGTGTGACCAGTTCAACAATCTTACTACTGCATAGAAGACTTAACCTTTGAAGTTTTGTGTATCTAGAGAGCCAGCCTTGGGTATATGTTGTCCTTATCTAAAGAAAATTCACTTTGGATTCTTATGTTGGTTCCCTTTTGATATTTCTGTTATGTGAAGGGGAAAAAAAAAAAAAAATTGGGCTTGTGATGGAGAAGATGAAGTTTTACTCTTTCTAATATTTGTGCTATGGTGTTGCTATATATTTATTTGTCCATGGATAAACTATATATGATAATTGTATCATTGGAAAGTTCACCTTGTATTTTAGATATTTATGTATAGTTATATATATATATATATACCTCGTGTAATTTTAGAGATTGTGCATGAGAGGAAGAAGAATAAAATAACCAATTTATTATATCTTGTTGATCAAAATGTTATTGAAGACAGTGGGTGATATTATATCACTAAAAGATTTGAACCCATGTATAGAACCAGAGGAGGTAGATGATCAGAATTATCACTATGCAATTATAAATATTAAAATTAAAGAACTGACTTACTTGAAATCAGATGATGATGCAAGCAGAATGATAGAACAGATAGAATGATATGTCAGAAGTAGATGAATTAAATCCGAGCCCACAGAACGTGTCTCCTTAAGACAATTTGCCCCCTCACTGATGCCTAAGGTTGATGGACACTTGTCTCCCAGGATAGAACGGATTACGTCTGAAGAATAGTGGCACTACCAATCAACAGCCCAAACGAACACAACAATTGCCAGAGGAAATCACACCGGAGGATGAACAACAGTATGCAAAACCGGAAGGAGAAAAATTCCGGCAGAGTTTAAGTGCAGAAAACTGGATACATTTTATGAAGGTGTCAGTGTCTATTTATAGACACTGACCGGTCACGTTTCAAAAGGCACCTATTCGACGACTAAACAACACATCCGTTGGACACGAAAAGACACATTCATTCAACACGAAAAGGCACCCATTCAAGGATGAAACAACATGTCCGTTAGGATGAAACAACATGTCCGTTAGGATGAAACAACACATCCCTTAGGATGAAACAACATATCTATTCGGATGAAACAACACATCCGTTCAGATGAAACAACACATCCGTTCGGATGAAACAACACATCCGTTCGGATGAAACAACACATCCTTTAGGATGAAAAGATACATCTGTTTGTCGACAAAAAGACACACCCTTTCACTACCAAACTTCTTATTCATAACCAATAGATTGTCTACACAATTTATATATATATATATATATATATATATATATATATATATATATATAAATTCAAACAATCCCCCACATGGATAAGAAGTCAAATCATCGTGACAAAAATGCATAAGAATATAAATGCAAAGTGTAATTTCCTCAACGAGAAACAACTGCATCGAGATAGGTGGAGTTACCTTTGAACCTTCTCTAGTGGAAACCTATCGGATATACTCGGTCAATCGGTGGTCTAGGTCGACTTGAACCGTAAACCTTTAGTGTATACCTAGACAATAGGAGTCACACAATTGCTTCTCTAGCATTGTTGGTCCTTTGTTGCGCCCATTTTGGCCGTGGGACACCTGCCTGGTTCTGCGAGTGTTTTAGAGAATCGGCCTTTGAAGAATTCTCATAGAAGCGGCCCTGACTTCACACTCACATAGGTGATTTCTTGTGATGTAACTTACTTATACATCATCTGAACACAACAGATTAAGAAATCATTAAAAGCCTAAGTGCTTACCCTCATAAATACACTGTCTTGTCTTAGGAATGAGTATGAGTTTAAAACTCCACAGTGTTTAAACAGTCGACCATCACTTAGTTGTCTCTTTGAACCTAGTTCATGGGATCTCCACTCTTCTAGGTAGAGTTACCGCAATGCTCAACAATTGATAGGCCTTAAACCCATTCCTTTCGGCAAATTTTTCAACCAACTCTCTAGGAATCCCTTTGGTTAACGGATCCGCTATGTTCTCCTTAGACTTAACATAGTCAATTGAAATGATTCCATTCGAGAGTAGTTGTCTAACGGTATCATGTCTTCGACGTATGTGTCTAGACTTACCGTTATACATGACGTTCTTGGCCCTTCCAATAGCTTCTTGGCTATCACAATGTATGCATACGGCTGGGACCGATCTTGGCCAATTAGGAACATCCTCAATAAAATTACGAAGCCATTCGGCTTCTTCACCGGCTTTATCTAAAGCAATAAATTCTGCTTCCATGGTTAACCTTGCAATGCAGGTCTGCTTGGACGATTTCCAAGACACAGCACATCCACCAAGGGTGAACACATATCCACTTGTGGATCTAGTGTCGTTAGAGCCGGTGATCCAATTTGCATCACAATACCCTTCTATAACTGCGGGGTATTTCTCGTAATGCAAAGCAAAATTTTGAGTATACTTCAGGTATCCCAAAACTCTTACCATAGCTTTCCAATGATTTTCATTTGGATTACTAGTAAAGCGACTTAACAGACTTACTGCATAAGCAATATCAGGTCTGGTGCAGTTCATAACATACATAAGGCTTCCCAACACTTGAGCATATAGCTTCTGTGCTGTAGCTTTACCAGTGTTCTTTAATAAACTCAGATTAGAATCTACAGGGTTCCTTACAAGATTTTTTTTTTTCAAACTCTTGAATTTCTCAAGAACCTTAGCTACATAGTGAGCCTGTGATAAGGCCAACTCTGTAGATGTTCTATGAATTTTAATACCTAGGATAACGTCTGCTATCCCCATATCTTTCATATCAAACTTACTATTAAGTAACTGTTTAGTAACTTTAACCATTTGATTATTACTACCCATGATCAATATGTCGTCTACATAAAGACAGACAATGGAAATTTTTTCAGTATTTCGAACATAGACACATTTGTCACACTCATTGATTCGAAATCCATTTGATAACATAACATTGTCAAATTTTGCATGCCATTGTTTTGGAGCTTGCTTTAACCCGTAAAGGGATTTTATTTAGCGACAAACTTTCCGTTCTTATCCTGGAACAACAAAACAAAACCTTCAGGTTGTTCTAAGTATATCTCTTCTTCCAGGTCGCCGTTTAAGAAGGCGGTCTTAACATCTATTTAATGTATTTGTAATCCATTCAATGCAGTTACCGCGATCAACATCCTAATGGATGTGATCCTTGTAACCGGTGAATAAGTATCGAAATAATCGAGACCTTCACGTTGCCTGTAGCCTTTTACCACAAGCCTTGCTTTATATTTATCAATAGTGCCATTCTCTTTCATTTTTCTTTTGAAAACCCACTTACTTGCCAGGAGGAAGATTTACCAATTCCCAAGTGTGGTTGGACAAGATAGATTCTATTTCACTATTGATAGCTTCTTCCCAGAATGGTCCTTCCGGGGACGTTATAGCTTCCTTATACGTCCGAGGCTCATTTTCTATGTCATAAAATCAGGTCCAAAGGATGTGGCGGTCCTTTGCCTCTTGCTACGTCTAGGTTTATCTTCTACATCCTCTACAGGATCAGTATTAGTTGTAGCATCCCGAGGTATCACAACCTGATCATCATTACTACCACTTGATTCATATATTTTCTTATACGGAAATACATCTTCAAAGAAAGTAACTTCCCTTGACTCAATAACCGTATTAACGTGTATATCTGAAACATCAGATTTACAAACTAGAAACCGATAAGCACTACTATTAAGTGCATAACCGATGAATACACAATCCACGGTTTTAGGTCCGATTTTCAACCTTTTAGGTTTAGGAACCGCAACCTTAGCCAAGCACCTCCACACTCTAAAGTATTTCAGGGATGGCTTCTTTCTTTTCCATATATCGTATGGTATGCTCTTTGTCAAACACCCCCACACTTCAAGATAATTCAAGGTAGGCTCCCTTCCTTTCCATATTTCGTAGGGGATGTTCTTAATTTTCTTGTGGGGTACTTTACTGATTATATATACTTTGTCATTAAATGACTTTCCCCCACAAACCAGACATCAACTAGATCATATCATTTAATGTCTGGGTCTTTTTCACAGCAATCCTATTGGATTGTGGAGCATAAGGAGCCATCATTTGGTATGTAATACCAAACTCTAAACAAAATTTTTCGAATGGGCCATCATACTCTCCCCACTCGATTGCTCCTTATGCCTTTGATTTTCTTACTGAACATTAACATATATTAAATAATATAAAATAATATACAATTATCGTGACATTTACAATATTCAAAGTCATCCACTTACCTTGATCATGCCACCACTATGATAGCCCTTATAAGTTCACACATTATCAAATATTTTACTAGATATAAGACTTTTATATCCATCAAAGCACATAGTGCATTTTTTAAACAAGAATTATCACTTGCCTAAATCATAAAGTCAAACTTTCACATTTATAATGGATATCACACACCATCATATACCATCAAATCCATTAAGTGTACCATATACAATTGAATGCCAATAAACGCATGACATTTCCCACATAATAATTAATATAACAAAATATTCATGTCATAAATATTTCTCATTTATCATACTATATACCATTCAATTGATGTATATTGTTACGGCATATGAACATATCATATCCACAATATATCACAGTTTTCACTTATATGCAAACATACCTGTTATGCATTTAATGTAATATCACACAAATTTTATATTTATAAACCATGAGTCAATGATCATTAAGAACCATTAATTCCATTTCATGCATTGATTGTCAAAACAAAAAATGTAACATTGTACAGAAATTGCAAATGCAATTCAAAAGCAATATAGCACGACAATCGAAATAAGCCAACCATTAATTCCATTTCAAATGGAAAGCCGTTGAAATAAACTGGTATTAGTTTTAAAAACAAAGTTTTTCAATGCACCAATAAGTGCTTCACATTTCCCACACATTGTGATTCCATATAATTGAACAAAAAGTATCATGTAATACATCATACATGTGTACGAAGGAACCACAGTTTTATCGTTCATATACTGATTAAAACTTAACT